AATGATTTAATTTTTAAATATTAACTTATAATATAAATGAATAAATACCGATTTTTCTTCAGTGCTATGGCCATGACGTCATTTATCAAAGCATTGAGAACAAGAGAAATAAAAAAGAAAAGCATGAAAACACACACAGAGTAAGTGGTTAAGTCGTGTAGCAGCGCATAGCGATGCATCTCCTACAGAATGCAAATATCAGCATCATTATCGCTTCCTCATTTCCTTCTTCCTCGGTGAAATCTTAAACATGATTTCCTTTTGAGCTAATTTACATCTAATCCTTCATTTAAATGAAAACTCAACACACTGCAAATAAGAGCAAACAGGTGCAAAAATTTTGTTATGTTCACATTTCACTAAACTGATATGATACAAGAAAGTATTTTTCAAAAGCACAACCAGAGACACCGATATTTCCATTTTTAATTAGCTACTTATTTGGTGTGCACAGGTAAATACAATTTTTTGTTGTTGTTGCATAATTACTGTCATTTTTAAAAGATTAGCTATTGTATTAAAAATTACAAAAATATGCATAAATACATGCTATCAGGTCATAAAACAATAACAATAGGTTTCTAGTAATAATAACAAGGTATTAGACTACAGACTGTAAACCCGAACAGTACTACTAACTTATAAAGATTAAGAACACTGCAATTAAAGTCTGTTAAATCGTTGATGCAACTTATAACAATTGCATTTTCTGAACGAGGAATTTAGTTTTATTTTTGTGCGGCTCAACAGTTTTGAGTAAACTATTTAAATTATTAACTTGACTATACTTCTACATTTTGTTCTACAATATAAACTGCACACACTCACAGCCTAAACCTTCTTATCTAGCTACTTATTAAAAACATACGTTTTCAAAAATGAATATAACTGCTTCAAAATTTGTATTTTGGGTATGGATGTGTGTAATTTACGTTGTACAACAAAACGTAAAAGTATCGTCAAGTTATGTTTACCGCAGGCTTTATTTTAATTGAAAAACCCCACAGGAAAATCTAGAAGGAACCCACGGTGAATTACTCTTCTGGGTTCTGACGTTATAGTTCCCCCACTCTATTGGCAGTAAATATAAAATGTCTACTTTTATCTCTGAAGTTAACGTTTAACCCTCTGTGCTTATTCCAGGAGGAATTGGGCGAGCCAGACATCACTGACACAAACACCTCTCCTGCTAAAGTCTTACCCTCTGTGCTTATTCCAGGAGGAATTGGGCGAGCCAGACATCACTGACACAAACACCTCTCCTGCTGATTTTGTTATCATGGACAACGAAACCACTACAAGTCCTGCAAGCACTGCAGTTGTGATGAGATGATCTTCCAGTGTTTGACATTCAGAAATGCACAGTTCATGCGGTTTAAAAAAGGCTGAATAAAAAATCTTCAGTTGTATAGCCACAGTTGTGCGTGTGTTTTTTTTTATGCATAAGTGTATTTTTTTTTAGTTAGTATTTGTATTTAATAAAGCACTACTGCATTAAAATAAATGGTAAATTAAAAACATTACGTATGATAAACAATAATTTTAAGTACACTGCACTTAAACATTAAGCAAAAACAAATTTAAGCTTTTTAGTTTGACTTCATTGTTATTTATGGTTAATGTTAACTTAAAAAATTTGAGTTGCTTAATTAAATTTTTTGAGGTAATCGGTGTCCACAATTTTGAGTATTCTGAACTTATCAGATTTTACAGTGTGCAAATGAACAATGGAGAGATGTCTTGTCTGTTTAAATTGACGACAGCTTTAATGAGCAGGAACCGCTGAATTAATCTGACATGGAGAGCAGCAGATATTGACACACAGCTGATGAAGCACACGCTGCTAGTGAAGAAAACCACATAATAGAGTCAAAGTGATGGAAGAGAAAACATCCAGAGCTCGAGTGAGCGGCAGCTGCTTGGGTTTCTTAACTAGAGTCTGATTTCTCTTTAACGAGTCGATGTGAATATGTTGCACGGCTCAAAATGTCACTGATCACTGAAATGCCACTAGATGAACTCACAAAACCAGCCAAAAACATGTCCATATTTCACCCCAAAATCAAAAGAAAGAAAGGAAATAGATTTTGTTTAATGTAAATGAAGCCTAATTATAAATATATAAATAAAATAAAAATATTTGTTTCCTAACAATATATGTAAAATGAATATAAAATTAAATAAATAATAAAATTAATAAATATATATATATATATTTATATAAAAAACATGTTTATAAAAATACATAAAAATACTCTATTACAGTGATGAGAATCTAACAAGAATCAATCCGGAAAATAATCTTTTCAAAACTAAATATATAAAAATTACTAACTTTATACTGAAAATTACTATATAACATTAGTTCGCTACTTTAGTTAACATTAACTAAAAATGGTAAATACTGATAAAGAATGTATTAATCTCAGTTCATTTTAATTTCAACATTTACTAATACAGTATTAAAACAAATTTGTGTCTGTTAATAGTATTTAATGGATCTGAGCAACATGAACTAACAATGAACAGTTGCATTTCTATTAAACAAATAATTATCTTTAAAAAAGCATCATATGACCCCTTTAACAA